GCTCCGTCCGGCGGCGTCCCGGAAGCAGTCGTCTGCTTCCCCCCTATGATTCTACTATTAGTTACTATTAGTTTAAGGAATGAGCTATTACTTGCTCACCCTGCTATACATGCCCTTCAGCTGCTGACCTATATGAAGTGTATTTTTATCTGGTATACTTATGTAATGCAATTGTATTGTAATACAATTGTGTAATCTTGGACTGTATTTTATAACAGTTCTTGCTGTGCCTGTCTCTTTGAGTTACAAAGGAAGGTTGGTTTTCTGAGAAAAATAAAATTCAGAAGTCCTATTCAGGTTTCCCCACCTGCATATTGCACAAGGAGGAGAGTAGGTACGGCTTGTTGGAACTTTTACCACACTTCTATTGCCACTTGTGCAAGTTTTCCCATGCATTAGAGGCAAGTTTTTTTTCCATTACAGTATGTTCCCTGAACAACTGAGAAGCCTTTCTAATATTTATAGGAAGGTACTAGTTGAGTTCATCCTCATCCAGATCTAGAGTGAAGAGGTGTCATCAGTATAGCTGGGGTGGTGGTGCCTTCAGAGTCCCCCAAGTGTGGTAGCCACCATGCAGAACACTGAAGGTGATGCTTTCAGAGATCTCTATGCACAGCAGCTGCCATGGGGGACTTTGAAGGCTTGGGGGTGGTGGTCTGGCCATGTGGGGGGCAAGGCAGTAGTTCACTTTCCTGCAACGGGTGACACTAACTCTAGTGACTTCACTACTCATAGTCATGATATCCATGTCTGTTTTTCATTGTCCTCTGAAAATTTGGTTGTGGGCTGTGTGAGGGACAATAAACAGAAGCTTAATCCTAACAAGATGGAGCAATTGTTGATAGATAATTCTTGGCTCTTGGGAAATCTAGTTCAACCTGTTTAGTTGTAGGCATATTCACCATAAAAGAAGCAGGTTCACAGGTTGAGTATGCATCTAGTATTGTTGTCTACACATCCAGGTGGCTTCAGTGACACGGAGTATCTCTCCCCATATTTTGGCTGGTTCACCAGCTGCATCCATTTCTAGATATCAACAATATGGCCATGGTAATCCATACTCTGGTAACCTTTTGAGTGGATGACTGTATTTCATTAATATATGAGGTGACACGAGAGCTCTGGGGGGGGGGAGAGGCAGCCCTCCAAGTGTTGCTAGACTGCTACTCCCATCAGTCCTAACTAACATACCCATTGGTGAGAATTAAAGGGCTCAGCCCAATAACAATGGCAAGGCTACACTTTGCTCACTTCTGGAGTAGAATTTTGTAAGCTGCTCATGTCTGATGCATTTCTTGTATTTGGCTTAATTATGATGTTATCATTGTGTGCCTTCAAGTTGTTTCTGCCTTATAGCAAGCTTAAGGGGTTTTCTTGGTAAGAATTGTTCAGAGGAGGTTTGTCATTGCCTTCACCTGAGGCTGAGAGAATGTGACTTGGCCAAGGTCACCCACTGGGTTTCATGGCTAAGCTGAGAATTGAACCCTGATCTCCAGAATTTCAGTCCAGCACTCAAACCACTATGCCACACTTGCTCTGGGAAGCAGGAATGTGCTGCTAATTACTGCTGTTAAATTGACAATTTTTTTACCTAAAAGAGTCTAAAATTTTATTACCCATGTTCACTCCTGCCCCCAAAGATTATAAAAATTTGATGTATTTTTGCATGGCACAACTGAAATTTTTCACAAAGCAAGATGCCCACTTTACTTCTACATGAATATGAGTTTAGATTGGAGACTTCATGGAATAGTAAATTACAACAGTCAATATGAAGTCAGTGTGGTCACCCTCCTAATGAAAGCAAAGTCTTCAGTAGACATTTTGCACAGGAGCAAACTGTACTGAAATCAGTTTTTAAGTTTCTAAAAGAACATTTCTATCCCTTTATGGCCAGATCAGGATTGCAATACCTGTACTCCTTTTCTATAAATGCCTGAACAATGCAGGCCAGCATTTGCATGAGAAAAGTCATCAAAACAGGAGGAAATCTGCCTACCTCAGTCATTTTAAAATAAGTCAGGCCATTAATTGTTAACCTCTGTTCCCTCTACTTCCACCGCCATAAATTAGTTTTATGGATTAGGCAAATGTGAACTTTCAAAATTGCTTTGGTAGCGTTTAAAAACAACCTGAGATACAGCAAGCAATTGTAGGTATTGCATATCCTATTTTCTTGCACCTTGCTTCTAAATTGTTACTATACAAATGAGCCTAGTTAGTAATTGTAGAACCAGCTGAAAGGTTCACAGCACAAGAAATTAAAATGAGCTTAGAGTAATTGGTGTCCACAACACAAAATGCAAAAGTAATTATTCAGGAAGAAAGAGCATGTTCAGATAACAGACAGTGGTTTTAAACTGGGCATTATCCAAAAGCACAGAATTAAATAGCACTCCAGGTGTATGTTACTCCTTCCTCAAGTTTCTTCAAGAGGTACATGTGATTTCATTATAGCTTTGATCTCCCTGAGTATGGGTGGTTTAACAAACCCACTATGATCTCTTATGTCCAAAAATAATCATGGGTTGCCTTCATTTTATGACAGATGAGATGCATGAATCATTTTTTTAAAAAAATATATAGAGGGTAGGGGTATCCATGTTGTAGAAAAAGCAAGGAACTTCATGGCACCTTAAAGACTAATATGCTTTTGTTTGACATATGGTTCCATCGACTATTGTCCTCTTTATCAGCTGCATAGAGTGTTTTCTCAATTAGCACTAAAACACACACGTTACTATAAATGTGTGGGTTAGTGGTGTAGGGTTGTATTCCATGGGATCACAGGGAATGAAAATATGAAAATTACAAACAGTAATAATCAACTTAAGGTTCTCATGAAATAAGCTGCAGTCCACAAAACCTCAAGTTAAATAAAATTGGCAAGTCTAGAAAGTGCAACAAGGTTCTGAGTTGAAAGAAATATGATTAAAAAAAAGAATTTAGGTTCTGCTGTCCAGTGCAGAAGATACTTTCACTATGAAGACAAAAAGAGAGTTCTAGGTGATTTGGTTTTCACTAGTTAATCTGGGATTTCAAGTAACTAGTACCAGTGCTAAGCTATTCTACTTAAAGAATCAATACCACATATATTAGATAATATGGGTAACTACTAATGAGCTATGGCTTTATTGGCCAACTAATTTGCATAAAATATATCATGCAAGCTTTCAAAGTTTCACTGACTTCATC